CAGTAAAATTCCTTCCCAAACACTCATCGTGATGTGTGAGTGAAAGCAGCTGACTACAATTCCCGCAGTTCCAAAAAATAAGACACACTGAGAGCAGTGAAGGAGCGATTAGGTAGAAATTGGAGACGAGAGAAGAGAAGCACAGAAATAAGAGTTTGTTACGAAAATTTTATGGTTTATAGATATTTCAGGAGATTCCAAAAGTACTACGAGGAATTACGAACCCATGCACACTCATTTTTGAAGAAAAACTGCAAGAAGGCATCCCGAATGTCCGGAACCAGGAAAGCACTGATATGTACTGGTACGCGATAAATCCGACGACGAGAAGGATTTGCAAAGTGCGCGAATACAGGTGTCCGCTCAAAAAAATTTCAAATAAATCTTAATGTACCTGACTTCATCATGATCATAATACTGCGGATGACCATTTAATAAATTTGCATAATTTTCAGCAAACTTTTCGATAATTCAACGATAAAAATGATTTCCGCTAAACTACAGCCAGGGATTATTGTGAGAAATATTCGTGGTGATGTGAAGAGTGATCCAAGTGCGCTCGGCGAAGATGCACCCTTCCCTATGAATCTCAAAACTGCTTCAGTTGGTTAGTGTTCCGGCAAAAATTTTAGTTTTATCAGCTCTAATCCGAGCATTTAAATTTGCAGAATGTCTTTGTTTGGAGAAGTCACTGATATGCAGTGAATTTGTAAAAGCATCAGTTTAATTAATACTGTTCACAAACAACTGATAGGGGAAAACGGTGTCATGCCAGATCTGACTTATCCTGAACTGCACAACTTGTCGTACTTAACGAGCAGCAGTCCGGAAAGATCAGACGGCGAACCCTTCCTCCTTCCCTCGTTCATCCCTCCTTAGCTTTCACTCCTCCCACAGTGCCATAAGCCCTCATTTAGCAAGTTTTACATTTTTTACAGCAATGATTGTACTGGCAGTGGCAGTGGCAGCGGGTGCATTGATAGGCATATGCGCCATATGCCTGTGCTACATGCGTCATCGGTTGAAGCAGTGCTCGAGGCATAATTATCCACAATTCAGTCATATCCAGAAATTTGATAGTATATTTTTGCCGAGTCCACCAACGGGAAGTTCCCACGATATGCTTTATGAAACTCAGGTACTTTTTCTAATTGTTATTAAGTGAATGGATGGACGAAGCTACCGATGAAAAACCCGGCGAGACATCCCACTGCTGCTAGCTCGGATAGCCGTAACCGCCTGCGTGCTTAGTTATCCTGGAGCAGAATCCTTAAACAGCTGCGTGATGCTTAGGTAAAGCTGAGAGCGAATTAGTTCCATTGTGGGTTATGAAGTCAAGAAAAAGCTAACGGCTCTGAACAGCTAACATGATGCAAGCTAGTCCATTGCTACGTTAACTGACCAGTCCACTGCTAAACTATTTCCTTTTAAATTAATCACAATTTGCACTGTAATATTTCCTCGCAACTGAATTGATGCTAGATGCTCGAAATGCCAGTTGGCGAAGACGATGCAATGATGAAACCAGCGGATGCAAGACGAGGTGCCGGAAACGGAGCGATGTTATCCAGTAATTATAATATTAACAATGATCAAAGCTACAAAAATTATAGCCAAAACGGACTTGTCAACGAGGCCACTGAAGATGCCATGTATGCGTTCCACGGACAAACACGAATTAATCACCAGTAAGCTGATTTTCATCGATCAAACTGCTTCCAGCTAGTAGGCCGCCAACCAGCTTCTCATTTCACACTGACTACTTTAGAGTAATAATAGAAAAATTCGCTGCTGACTTATTAGGAATGGCCGTTCCCTGCTACGCGTTAGTAATACACTACAGTCAAAAAAACACCGTTGCAACATCCTGTCCAAGACTGTGTATTGCGCCTTCAGGTCTTGCCTCCAGACCAGGCTGGAAGTGGCCCTTCATCACCTGTCAAGCAGTTTGTTTATCGACTCAGCAAAACTTGGTGGTATTGACCGGCCCAGCAGCGAACCGTTAGCAGCAATAACGACTTAACTTTATGAAGCAGTTTTTTCTCAACAGAACCAAGCTCCCTACAGCATATCATGTTTCGCACGAGAAGGGAGAACCCTCGCACTTGTCTTGATACAAAAATAGCTATCCACCGGCATGACTGTTGGCGCATTCTTTCAAACTTTACTTAATAGGTAAGTGAACAGTGGTTCAAGCATTTAGCCTAATGGATACCAAAGTACCAAATTAAAAGAATCAACGGACAGAGTTGAATGGCTTCGAATCGCCAGGAATTACTCGTCACTCTGCACCACCGCTGAAACGGTAGGTAACGACCATTAAGAGGGCCGAGTCAGAAGTGGATGGTCGAAATGGGTTGAATTGACAAAAAATTTTTTTGCGGACGTTGGCAGGACGAACCATAATTTCTGAAGTAACGGCCAGTCTGAACCGTGGAAAATGCGGAACGGCCGAAATCCTTAAATTTTAATGTAAATTCACAGACCGCTGCAATAGCCAAATAAATTCAGAACTAAAAAGAAATTTTCAGGAAAGTGCAAAGGATAATGATTCCCGCTCCGGACTATCCAACAGAACAAAAGAAAAGAGTCTTCTAAATTGTTACCAGCCTGCATACAGGCGTTTGTTGGATGAACTCTTGCTTTGCTCATCAACTTATTTTGATTTTTTTTTTT